TATTGGAAATCAATCGCATCAATAGCCGCTTTTCAAAAATGTTTTCTCACTTGGACAAATTAATAGTTGTATCACAATTGACAACACCTGAAGACACATGCAAATTTCGTTACAGCATAAAAATGTTTTATAATGATGTTTTATGTAAGTGCGAAATTGAATGAATTTATCGATTAGGAAATGCTCAGATTCCATTCCACAAATTTTAACACCTGCCGTCGAAGGTCTGTGGTTTCTTCAAATAAAAAACCTTACATCGTAAGACTGCAAAGATGAATTGCTAGAAATCCGATGACAAAAGCGCACTTTGGCTTACAAGCCCGCGGGTGAATTTTTTATACACTGACAAAGCAGTAAACGGATGTAATTGATTGAGATGAAGTTACGTATAAAATTCACTACCTGAGAGGAAGGGACAAAGCCATCGATTGAAATTAAAAATTGAAGTTCCCTACAAATTGAACGAGTGTAATCTAAGAATGAATGTGGCAGTCCCGATCAACTATATGTACCGGTACTATACAGATAGATTTGTTCTCTCAGCATATCTGCAATGGAGATGTACAACTATGTTTGCGTCAGTCAAATTCATCAGTTAAATATAAAAAGACAAATGAGGGCGCAATTGAACAAATATACATGATTTACATATATACATATTGTCAATTAGAATTCAATTCTGACATTAAAAAAATAAGAATTCTTGATTTTAAACAAAGTTCATCATGAAAAAGAAAGACCTGGCAACCATCACGGTGAAAACAAAGGGGGAAAACTCTCAGAAAACTGTACTTTTGGGTGGTTGTTGAGATTCTCCTTAACAGTGATTAACAAGATTGTCCCTACATGTGCAACATGTATACAATTGGTTGTTCAGGATTGTCTTATAGTTGATTTTGTGCTGTTTTCCTTTGAAGTCAATTAAAAATCAATTACCACTTGGCAAACCGGAAAAAAATAATATTATGACAGATCACAATATTTTTCAGTTTCATTATCGAAACTAGATGACCGCAAACTTATCTCACTACCCGAAACCATGTTGCATGAAACATTGAAATTTTTATCTTGGATATCAAGATAATGATATTTGAATAATTTTTTTTTACTTCTTCATTGTAATTCTGCCCAAAAAGAAATATTTGGTTACATTACAGCAAATAAAAATAGTAACAACATATTTTTTAATGTTTAAATTTAATTATTACCTTTCTGTACATGATCACGATGACATATTTTAAAACAATGATCGTTTTATCAGGATAATATTTGGTTTAAAATTTCTCTCGGCAATTGGTGAAAGTTGTTTGTTTCATCATAATCAAAAATTAATTTTCCATCGCTGACTCAGAGCAGTCCCCTGGAATTTGCTTTTTTCTGAATTTCTCGCAATGCATTAGGAAAATCTTTTCAAAAATACAACACAAAGCGTTAAACACTACAGAGTATGGCATAGCTGAATAAAGAGAAGCAAATCCCAACTATAGATGGCTCCCTAACAAAAACATTGTTCATATGACCTAGTAAAATCTGCAATTTGATTCGTGATAGATTATTTCAAAGGCTAGATGACACTTGGAAGTGTGCTGGTATTTATACTTGAAGATTAACAATACTGGTAAATATTACAGCTATTGTTTTCTCATCTCCCAGTTAACTCTAAGCTAGCATCCCAGAAGCAGCCCCTCGAATATCTTACTTTTATAACTTGCACATGCAATATCACTACCATGTGATTACTAGTATAAAACAAAATATGTAAAAGTGATTGTTTCACTACAAAGAAAAAAAACATGGTAAAATGTATAATCTGCAGACTTTACAAGTCTGTGATATGCATCAGTCTCCAGTAATGGTTACTTCCTTCCACTAAGTTTGAAGTAAATTAGCATGCCGAAGGTTAGGTGTGGACATGTCAAAATACCTGATTTTAAGTGTTTTTTTAACAACTTACAGTAATTGTTAGCAGTCGGCCATCTTTGATCGGATGACAAAATTATTGTATGTGCATATGTACTTTTTAAGTATGAATTGAATTGCTCAAAGCATATACGTGTACAAGATACATGTCTAAAACAGAATTTGTCAAAAACAAAATGGTTGCCAGTTGGCCATTTAAAGTCAAATTTACAAATCAAAGTGGCATGCACCAATATGAAAAAAACACCTAATTTGCATAAATTATTATTCATGAGCAATAAAAACATTGTCTTTTCTTTGCCAACAAACTATTTCCCATAGCCAACATGGTACATGTAGTTAGAAAGTGACTGATTCTATCGTTACGAGCTGTAATACATAATCCCAAAACTGATGTAAGTGTTTTTTTGTGACACATGAGGCAAAGCCAGCAAACTGTTGAAAGTAACCACAGTTTTATTTCTTTAAACATGATCATAGCAAGTTTCATAGAGAATGCAGATCACGTTTATATTTCACTCAAGTACTATTGCTCAAAATTGTTCTTCAATACGTGACAAGTTACATAATTGAGTAGTTTTGAATGCATAGAACTTCTGCAAGAAATTAGTGGTGCCAAACTGATTGTCGATTGAATTGTTTTGAAATGGACACAATTTTAGTGCCTATAAAATTCTACTTAATGTTTTTAAATTCGTTGTTGATTATTCTGTAAAGAAATCACTGAAATGATTTCATCTGTTTGTAAAAGGGACGTTGTTGATTTGACGACTGACTTTGAAACAGTTCATCAAGATTGGATGGCGCCCTCTCAGGCCAATCCCCCCTACCCCCATGTGGGTACTTCAAAAGAGGTCAAAGTTCAATGACCATCTCTGTTGAGATTAATTACCTGCTTTGCATAAAAGTGTTATTGATGATGACAATGAGACACACCTGAGTTTAATCCATTGTATGTGGTTGCTGGCACCACCAGTTTTATGATAGGACATAGAAAGCAGGTTTATGGGTTTACTTAATTAATTATTCACTTGACAAGTGAAACATGAATGAAATATTACTTCCAATCTTAATACATCCAAATACTTCTTACAAGCATGTGATCTGTGGGGGCCAAAATAATGCAGAAGTTTCAAAAGCTTACCTCTCAATTGAATGTACTCCTTTAAAGTTGTATCACGTACATGTGGGGCAAGTCATGAACCAGAGTAAAATATTGAAATAATTTGTTAATATCCTTTTTTGGCTTTACTCGTTTGAATGTTTAATGATCTTGATTCTCCAGTCAAGTCACTCCCAGAGATATGCAATGAATGCGGAAGCTTCAAACGCAGCCGAGAGTAATTCCTGGCGCTGTAGATGGGTAAATAAGATTCAGATATAATACACATGTTTTTTTTCTTCTTCGAAGACTAAGGGGAGAGGGAAAGATTAATTGTCTTGGTTTCAAAGACACCTGAATGGATTTTACAGTTACTGTGCACATTCACAACATAGTTCATTCAGCTATATAATCAAAACATGCATACCAACACCAGACCTAAAATAATAATTTTGGATTCGTCGGATGATGATGATCATGTTATTTTATTTAAGTAGCACGAAATTAATCTATATCATTAATATCTGAAGACTTAATTTCTTTTTTTTTTAACGCCGGTAGGTTATTTCGTCTGGCATGAGATGATCGCGTGGGATGATCCCTGGTTTCGCGGACGAATTAATTCTCGGCTTCACCCAAGTGCCAAACTGTCAAATGCAAAACCACGACGCTGACCACCACCTTAAATCTCGCGTGTGCAATAGTTTAAGTACTAACACCCAGATTTGTAGCCCTTTTCTAAGCCTTGAAACCGATATATAGCCAGGAACTGTGCAATCATGAAACATAGTGAACATCTTACCAGTTAAATTTACGGCATGGGAGCTGTCGATGTCAAACATGCAAATGTTGTTTTTCCTTCGAAGCCTCAAAGGTCATCAACAGGTCAACTAACTCGCGGGGAAATTCGAGATTTCATAAAAAATCGCAAATACTTTGGTATCTATTAAATTTTAAATGAAGATTTACTATTTCATGTATATATATCGTATTAGATACGATATTTGTTTTCGTTCTGCTATTCTCTTCCTAATTAAACTGAAGGAAATTATTCCCATCGTGCCTCTCTCCAAAACATAGCAACAGCGCCATTTTGTTGGTCCAATATGGCGGATGTTGTGACCGATTGCGATGAAATTTAAGAGAAAAGCAGGAGAAAAGCCTGAAAATTAATATCTAAGGTATTGTAGTACTTGGGAAGTATCTTCAGTATGTATACATGATGTACTGAAATTGAATAGTGACATATAGTTGTGCGATTTCGGACTGACAGCTACGTTTAAGATCGGTTGCCGAGCTCGCGGGTCAACCCAGCTCCACAAAATAACAAGTAAACAAGCATAATATTGATAACTATAGTTTAATAGTTGGAAATAACATACTTTTGCTCAACAATCTCGGTGCATATGCCTCGAGAACTATCCAATACTTTTGATGGAACTAAAAAAAACAGATTCCTTTTAGCTCCATGCTTTAATAATCTGTGTCAACCATCAGAGCCCATTCAGTCAGTGTGAATATTTTTTTTTACACATGATATGTGCATGACTAATGATAAGAAAAATGGCTCTGTAATTTAATTCGACAACTAGGAATTGCAAAATACGATGTACGGTTATTAGTATTAGGTTTCTTATTTTCCAAAAAATAAACATTATGATAACTACGGTACATGTATTTTTATTTTCCATCATAAACGCTGGAACGCTCCATTTATGCAAAATCGATTTTACCGTGGTCCTATGGATTTGTAGGTCCATGGTCTTACCAAACTTGGCACTTTCAAATTGATTGTGTTAGCTATATCCATCAAAATCTAGTGGGTTAAGTCTTTGCATCACTAAAGTGATTAGCATACATTTGTATAGTATACACGTAACATAATGAACACCTAATGAAAAATTTAAATGTGCATATTGTAATATTGCTACAAATTAAATTGCTTTTATATCATGATTAATTTTTCATTTTCTTTCAGCTTTCCAATTAAGATTTTCAAAAAAATGCCGTCTGCTGTGGCAAACCGCCCTCAGATTCAGCGAGTGAAACGCTGTGGAATTGAGGTTGTTGAAGGAGTTACCTGGAAAGGATGGGAGCCTGGTGCAGAATATACTAAAAATATTATTTTGAAAAACGTCAATGTTAAAACACAGAAAATAAAATATAGGTACGTTTCAATGATATTTGTATTTGAAACAGTACACTTATATTATTACCATCATAGGTGAATAGGTTCATCGTTTTGTTAGAATACAATTTTAAAATAAATGTGCTGGAATTTTTTTGGCTATTTTTCCAAAGGTCTCGCCACTCCTTTTTCTCAGTATGGGTTCTAGAATGATAGGTGTGACCGTCTCCCATGCAGAGTTTTGAGGTAGCAAGGCACTAAGGTCACTTGTCATTCTATAATCAGCTTCCAACATGACTACAGTTGCAGTCATGTTTATTCTTGGCTGCTCTTGGTGAGCATATGTTAATTTGGTCTCCCCACTGATAAGAGTTAGTATAGAATCCAATAATGAAATTGACACATAATCAATGTCACTTTTGCTTCAAATTGAGCAATAGAGTAAGTTTAGTTTTAGGCAGTTTCATGTGTTCTAACTTTCATTCGGAATTATAACGTTCACATCCCAATCTACATGCTTGATTATAATAATAATTTATTGACACAACACTATATATGGTTCATACAGCAGTATGGTCACTAAACAGAACTATAACTACGATACTTTCAATATAGAATATACATATTTGGCAAAAGGTATACTAAAATAAGTGTCTAAAGCACTTAATAAATATATGAACTAACATTCTTCATTAAGTTTTTCAAATTCTGGAAAGGTAATTTTGTCAAATAAGTGTACTCTGTACAAAACAATTTAGCATTAGTGCATTGCATTATGTAATGCTTTTCGTCACCAATTTCTGATGCATCACACAATTTGTATATTTGCTCTGTTTGTGTTTCTTATATTTATAACATTGGTATCCTTTGATCTGATTGGTGGAAATATCCATCCACGTTAAATTGCTTGAATCAATACAATGAATGAATAATGTATTTTTTTTATCAGGGTTCTCAACAAACCGTTTTCATCAGGGTTTTCATTGGGGATAAGCACCCTGTTTTATTCAATTAAATGATTAGATATTTCAGATTTTGTTTATAGTTATTTTTCAAAAAACTTAACAATTGTACATTGCATAGTTGAAAAGCAAAATTATCAACATACCTTTTTTCATTTTTATATTGTCAGCTCTCCAACATCACGTTTTTTCACCACGTTGTATCCACAACCGATAGTTTTGAGTGCAGGAACCAGTTACACGTTGCCAGTTACATTTCGACCTCTTGAAAAAGATGTCTATGAGGACAGTATTGAATTCCAAACTTTAGTAAGTGATTTTTATTGATTTTATAACTATCACTGTTTTGTCACCTTGATTGTCACATTTTGTAAACTTACAGTAAATCTGACATCATCATCTGACATTAAAAGTTAAAACAATTTATTGTCCTCGCTCCCTATATGCAATCTGTTGCGATGACTACAGCCTTTTATGGAGGGGAGGTTGTTAAAATCAAAGTTGAACTAATGTTCCTGAAATCAATCACTTCTGACAATTATGGTATCTTTCAAAAAAAATTGGGAATCACCTACTATTATTTCAGACCAGAGCTTCACTTTTCACAAATTTCTCAGTTCTGTACTAAATGACTGCCATTGAGTTGATTAACACAACGAATTTGAAAACTGTAATTTTTTTTGTGTGTGGAAATAAGTTTATATACACCTTATTTTGAAGATTTGGTTTAGTAATCAAATTAGTTGCTCAGGAAACTATTTTAAAATCTGTCGATATGTGAAAAAAAAAAAGAATTTAACCATGTAGGTTACATCTAAACTTTGTTCTGTTGATTTTATTACAACCACATTATCTCTTTGTGTTTAGGATGGTGCATTCAAAGTGCCGATCTGTGCAGTGCTGCCAAAGCATGAACTTGCTGTTCCAGAACATCTCCAGTTTGGTATGTGTGCTGCACAAGATAACATTGAGATGACGTTTGATATTAACAACATCAGGTAAGAGGATTACATAGTTCTACTGCTATTTCTAGTTGATCTTTGTGGTTGCACTTGAATTACCTAATAAATAAGCGAGAAATAAAACATATTAACTGAATTCGTGCAACTTATTTAATTTTTTTTTTCAATAGTGAGCTGACCACACCCTTTGAATGGAGTATAAAAGAGCCATTCACAGTGGTTCCCCCAGAAGGAACTCTGGATCCCAAATCATCATGTAAAATTAGAGCCACTTTCAAACCGAAATCTTCCTTGGTGTACGAAACAACTGCCGTGATTAAATATGGAAATGATCTCAGCTGTTATAAGACTGTCAAGCTAGAAGGCATCGGTAAGTGAAGTATTTGCCAATTAGCCAAATTTTAGGTTTGTGATTAATTTCTCACTTTATCTGTAGAGCTGATGCTATGTAAACAAACTTGCAACTTTTACTTAAATGACCATCAACTCTTCTAAAGAAGAAAAACATATTGAAAAAAAAAATATAGTACTGAATGGTACTTTTAATATATTAAGTACTTGACATACTGTATTATGCATTAATTATCACTGGGTTTTAATTTCGATATTTGCAGTGATAAAATAAAATCTGCTAAATTAAATCTATGTGAACATGTGAAATAACAATAAAACTCATTGTTTCCTTGATAAATTCATGAAATTAAAACACATTGAATATGCCCAAAACATTTAGTGAAATTAAATGTCGGTAAAAATTAATGGTTTTATAATACTTTCAGAAATTGTGCTAGACATGGTATGTGTATTTTTATCCTTATTGCTTTTTGCAGGAAAATATCCACATTTACTGGTATCTAGTCTTGGGAAAAGCCCTAGGACCCTTGAGAACTTGAATGCTGAAGCTGTGATAGAGTTTGGACAAGTTGCTATTGGTCGACAGACAGAAAAATACATTGAACTTCATAATCTGTCACCTGTAAGTACATCCTTGGATTCTCAATAAATTATTTGCTGTCTCAATGTTAGGTATTGGTTACATCCTTTAATCAAAGGATGTCTGACACTGACACGATTTATTCATTTCTCTTCATAATGCTTAACCACTATCCATCAATATTGATTTCTGACCATCACTGGAAAACTTTCATAGGTTTGTATTTCCCGAACTAAGTTAGCAGCAACTTAAAATCATGATGTAACAACTACTAGTTATTTGAAAAATGTTTAGGCAATGTTAGCTCAAATCAAAGATGGTGGCTAATGTCCCAGTTTTACTGACAATACTGTTTTAAACAACACATGGTCTTACAACTTGTTAATTATTTAATCCTGGTCTATTCTCATACCCAGATGTATTTGTTATTATGAAAGTATTACCAGTGAAAAAGAGAATAGGGAAACTGATCTCCTTCTTACTGCCTTCTCTCTCTCAAAAAAACATCTAAAATTGGAAACTTTTTCAAGGCTCAACAATTTCTATACTCTCATGTCAAGTTGATTATATACCAGTGCGATTAAAATTTACAAAAAAAAAAGTAATTTTTCAACACAGACAATTTTTTCACCAAGTGAGTAAGCAAAATGAGATTAGATTCACTAGAGCATGTGACTGGTACAACTAAAAAGTTATTTGCTGATCTTTCAATAAAACTTTCTAGATTTCAAATTTTCTTGAGAAAAATTTGTTTGAAAAGACAATTGATGCCTAACCAAGTTCTTGCTTATGTTAGGAATATAAATTTAATACAGATGAAAATATTCTTAATGTTTCCTATCTGTTTACTGCAGGTCAATGCCCCTTATACAATAGAACATCCAACTTCATCCACTCGTATTGATACAGTGTTTACTTGTAAACAGAGAAATGGAGTAGTGCCAGCTGAAACACTTGTTAGAATACCGGTAAGTTAAGTTTACCAATTCAAATTAAATACCATGTCTCACAAAGAATGATTTTAAAATTAAAACTTTCAATAAATTGTGGGCTAAATTGTGTGTGTTTTTTTTCTTGGCTTATTCAGGTTAGTTTTACCCCAAAAATTGTTGGTGAAAAATCTGTTGATTATGTACAAGTACAAGCTATTGGTAACATCAGTAAAACAGTTGTCAAGCTGGTAGGCAGATGTAAAGGTAACTAAATAAATGTTTTAGAATAGTTAGAGTAAATTTTGGCAGCTTTTGTCATTTGAATACATAGGTTTTTCTGTCAAAAGTTGACTTTGGTACTCAAAGGGTTAACGATATGCAAATTACCTAATTAATATGCACATAATGTATATAGAACTATTTTGTGAATGGTGACAAAAGTTGACTTTGGTACTCAAAGGGTTAATAATATGCAAATTACCTAATTAATATGCACAGATGGTATATTTAACTATTTTGTGAATGGTTACAAGAGTTGACTTTGGTGCTCAAAGGGTTAATGATATGCAAATTACCTAATTAATATGCACATAATGTATATAGAACTATTTTGTGAATGGTGACAAAAGTTGACTTTGGTACTCAAAGGGTTAATAATATGCAAATTACCTAATTAATATGCACATATGGTATATTTAACTATTTTGTGAATGGTGACAAAAGTTGACTTTGGTACTCAAAGGGTTAACGATATGCAAATTACCTAATTAATATGCACAGATGGTATATTTAACTATTTTGTGAATGATTACATAAGTTGACTTTGGTGCTCAAAGGTTAAACGATATGTAAATTACCTAATTAATATGCACATACAGTATATAGAACTGTTTTGTGAATGGTGACAAAAGTTGACTTTGGTACTCAAATAATTAATGTTCCTGTAGTGACTTCCAAACTCATTTACCACTATTCGCTTTTCTCTCTTTTTATTGCAGGGCCCACTGTTTCACTTAGCAATAAAGTTGTGAATTTCAGTCGTATTGATTCCGGTGAACAGCAGACAAGAACACTAACCATTACAAATAAATCTGACGTGGATGCCACCTATGAGGTGAGTTGCATAAATACTTTACAAGTCTAGCGCCCTCACAGTTAAAAGTGAATCTGTAACTTAGAATGAGGCTACTGGGCACTGGTTTTTCATGATGAGCTATTTGATGCGGTATCTGTAACTTTGTACAAGTCGTTTCCTGCATTGAATTTTTAGTGAATAATGAAGGTTTGAAATCCAACTTATAACAGTAAATTGAAATGCGATCTATGGAAATGTTGGCAAAATAAATAGATAATAAATATGACTCAATATAACCTTATGATATTTAGTATTTCAATATAATAATTTTTTCCAACAATGTCGTACAAATATTTTATTTTATTCCTGTAATTTAATTATTAATTGTGTACCAAATGAACACAAATTTTTTATTGGGTACAGGGGTTGTTTAAAAAACTTAATACAGGTTTATTTTGTGAAAAGTTGAAGTTCAATGGGTTTTATTTATACAAAAACATTTTTTGCGTTGTCTCTTGAAAATAGTGCATAAACTAGTCAGTTAATTAATTAATCCACACTCTGCTCATTTCACAGTTCTTGATTGATTGCTATGAGAGTGTATTCAAGTTTGAGAAACAATCCGGATTACTGCAATCTGGTGCCTCTGATACCATCATCATGCATTTTGTACCCAGAGAAGCAATCAACTACTACAGGAGAATAACATGCCTTGTACAAAACCAGGTAAGATTATTTAAACAGGTCATCGAATTAACAAACATAGTGCATTAATAAAATTGTGAACTGCTTCTGGGAGAGATGAATTTATGTGAATTACCCGAGTCAGTTAAAATCCGAAATTTTGTAGCTGTGAAAATCTCTCTGGGATCCTAAGTGTCAGTGACTTTCGCAAAACTTTGTCTGCACAATATGCCTTAAAATTCTCAAATCAGACAACTTCAAGCAGCAAAAATGGTTTGCAGTATAACTTTAAGATAACCATCAGAATGTTCATGAGATATTTTATAATTTGATGGCATGAAGTAAGTATCTTTGCCAGCCAAGGTCAGTTTATTTGGCCGTTGCCTCACCTTTATTACTTTGGCATACCTGGCAACTGCGTATTAAAATTCAACATCCTGCCATTTTGTTTTATATTCGTTGCCACATCAACTCTGATTTTCCTGAGGTCAAAAATACCGTCTGTATAAAATCATGCACAGCTCCATAGGGGAGTAAATGTATGTATACATCAAGTTCTTGAAACTGCAATTTGGATAATGCTCAGTATAAATTTACACCAGCCTAATAATAAAAAGGTACAAATCACCATAAGTGACCAATGTGTAATAATGTTTTGTTATTTTTCAATACAGGATCCACTGTTTGTAGATCTAATTGGCACTTGTCATGCAGAACAAATCAAGCCAGCGGTGTTACAGCCAAAACATCTCAGCAGATACAGAGTGCACATGGCTAGAGGACTGTCTCTTTTCCCACCAGATGTAAGATTCCATTATTTGTGCCACCCACTGTCATCAGCACAAAAATAGCCATTTATATGACAACAACAGTGCATGAAAATTCAGACCTCAGATTGCCTGTCATTGCACTGACAAGTATTTAATTTTGGTTGGTTGAGTGTGTATTGTTTCATATACTAGTACTCCATTGTTTCTATGTTCACACACAACCCATCGCATGATGGCATTCATTTTTACAGCAATCAGCATTTAATTTTGTGTGTGGTACAAGGTCACATGCAAGTCTCCCAACATTTGGCATCAAAGTGGCTGATTAGTTTGACCTCCCAGTCATCTATTATAAGAACTCCTCACGCTTGATAATAGTTACAGTTTTGATTAAAAACTGATGCAAAAGTTGTCACGCTGAAAACCAAAATAAATAACTTTCATTTATAGTTATTTATATAATTATAGTTAGCCTACATGCAATCACATGTACAAAAACAGTTTTAGGAATACTTAGATTACACTAGATTCGTCTTGATTTGTTTTTACAGCAACTGAATGAGCTTCTCAGTGAAGGTAAACTTGCAGTGGATCCTGAAGGCTGTCTGATGAGTCAGCAAGCTGAAGCCATGGAGATGTACCTTCAGGAACCCAAACCAGTGCCACCCATGCATGAATATTTTGATGACGGGCATTATTCAGACAAACCAGTAAGTTCTCTTTGATAGGTTATTGTACACCCATATGTTGATGATTAGGTTTGCTATATAATCAGGAATAAATGGAAAAAAATTTTTGAGCTTGCGATCTCATGAGCATCTGTACCTTGTTTTTATTTTGTAATCTTGTATTAATATATTATTGTGAATTTATTGGGACCATCTGCTATGTTGATTTATAATGACATCAACTCTTGTGTAGTCAAGTCAATGTAGAAGTACATGGTGATGACATGATCAAAGTCATTGAAAATGATTCCTACAACTGTAATAGTGAAATAATGTAACCAATTGTACCAGGGTTGTAGAATTTGCCAATGTTCATTCAAGAATGTACTGTGGTTTTATGCTGTATCCTGGTTGCATGCATGAGATCAAAATACTAAATCAAGTTCAAAAATGTACAATACGTCTTTAATTTAAGACTTGAGACAGTTTTACCCTGGTACAGATTAGATAAAGGATGATCACTTTATCATTTTATGACAGTAATAATAGTAAATTCAGGGGTATATGCCATAATTGTCATATAATCGTGGTTTATCAAGGATAATCAAACATTTATTATTACCAGTGTACATGACTTGAAGGTATTAACATCATTTCCCACCACTTGCAGTATACTGTACCACACGTCAGCTTGGACGTCGAAACAGTTGATTTTGGTCAGTGTACAAATATCCGTCTAATAGAGCCAAGGACCATACACGCCACCAACCATACCAAGGGTAAAGTGACTGTTGTATGGATGACAAATACAGAAAACGTATTTTCAGTGACTCCAGCTACTTGTGATATTCCACCATTGAAGACGTTTTCATTCCAAGTTGCTTTTAAGCCTGTAAGTATCATACTTATATTACATTATTTCTATTACTGATTTCTGCTAAACTTGTTTATATATCATTCATGCTTATACCGGGTCATACAAATCTAACTGATTTGTGGCACACTAATAGAGCAAAATACAGGTACAGTTTGCTTTTCAATCTCTTAGTTGTGCATATCCCAAATCCTAATAAAACAAACTTTCAGAAGGTTTTAGTAATTACACATGTGCCCTGTCTGACAATTGGTTGTCTCATTTTCATTTCAGGGTGTACCAAACCAGTTTTTTGGAGCGGAATTAGAATGCTATGCCTTTTACAAGGTGAGTTGAGGACTTGTATAACTTGTGATTTATGTATATAAAACATCATGAATAAAATTACTAAGGATCTGTTCATTATACTGTGCTTGTCTCCTACTGGTCATTGGAGAAATGGCATCCAGCCTTCTTTGTCTATCTGGCATCTGAAAACAATAGAAAAAAGGGGAAGTAAAAAATCCTGTTTGATGACAGCGATCAAAACTGTATGTTAACAGAATTCAAATCTAGGTGATAGCACTTTAATACCCGGTAGTAATTTTCATATTTGAATAAAACTAGGTCATTGATTGTGAATATAAACTTGTTTTGTGACTCATCAAAAAAAATACAGCAAGGACTTATCGGCCTTGACTTTTAAAAATGACCCAGGCGCTAAAAATGTCTCTTCTGAACACATCAATTTGAGTGATTAGGAGAACTATACTATTAAAATCTCCTTAAAATAGTATGGATTTGAAGAATGATAATCAGATCTATGTTTGGATGAGTGACAGGTGAGTGGCGGAATCACTCGCCTTAGCAAGTTAAAATCTGGTAGATTTAAGATTCAATTCTTGTCTGTTATTTTGTTTACATAAGCCCTGGCAATACACTCATAATATATGTATTTTTGTTCACCCAGAGTATGAGAGACTATCGTCTTGTGCAAGATGAAACATTTTCTCCACCATGGTGTATGACATTGAACACTGTAGGACACACCTTCCAACCAGGAAATGAGACATTTTTACCACGATTTACATTAGACTCCAAGAGCTTGGTGAGTTAGCATTCTTTAGCTTTTGTGTTATAGTTGAACTCTGTGATTATTTCTAAATTACACTGGGGTCTTCTAATGAAATAAATGATGGTCTGAATTTGTACAATTTGTGAAAAATACATATTAAATATTCAATGATTTACTCGGCATGTGAATGTTGATGATTTGTTTCAGTTGAATTTCGTTAGCTAAAACTTTAGAATAATGTTCCAACATACTAAAATTTCACTTTTTGAGTCAGATTTAACTTTATTGATGAGTTGAGATGGGATTTCCTCATCATTTCATTACATACTGCATCCTAAATAAACTCATTTCCATGTTCTTGATGTTTTCTCAGGCCATGCATTATAAAAACATTATCATTCTTTTAATAAGATATTTTTTTTCTGTTTGTAGCTATTCCCTGCAGTATCACCAAATGAGACTATTTTCAAGACGCTACTACTGACTAACAACGGTACAACACCAATACATTATGCATTTGAACCAGATCCATCAGGGTAAGCTATCTTGTTTCATATTCTTTTTTTTCCCTTCACAGTATTTGTAATCTTTTTTGCTTTCATGAAACACGACGCTTACAATGTAGTATTGGTAAAAACTGTTTAATTCAATCTTTGGCACAATGGGGGCATACCGGTTACTAGAACTCCATTCTGTTAACTGAAATTCAACAACACCAAGGTGCCCCAACAAAGTTGGTACACATTGCAAAGATGAATAAATCTTTAAACACTTATACGTTATATGTTAACTCTTATTAGTATAAATTTCCTCCACAGTATTCTTAATCTGTTTTGCTTTCTTCTACAGAACTTATTCAGTGAAACCCAGCAAGGGTCTCCTGCAAGATAAATACCAGATATTCGTAGTCAGAATGAACCCCAAAATAGCAAAGACACACAGACATATATTGAAAGTCAAACTAAACGATGCTGCTAAACATGTACACGGTGTTATGTTAGTGGGATCAGCTGAAACACCAGAATTGTTGCTGGAAAATGAGGTAAATAAACAGGTCTTAGAGAATATGTTTTTTTTTACAATTTTATGATAAATGTATGAAATTATATTTATTTTTTGTGAAAAATCCTGTGTTTTTGAATAAATTGCAATGCAAGGGTTAACCCATAGAATGCTGTAATTGTTCAAACAAAAATATCACTGCTACAGTTTGCATTTTTTGAATACTGTAAAGGGGGTAATTATTCACTGGGTTTTAATTTAGCTTATTTCGCTGACTGGAAAAATGCGCTAAATTAAAACACAGTGAATATGTAAAATTTAACATAGAACACATTATCTAAATGACGAAACCGTGAATTTAAAACCCACTGATTATGCCTGAAATGGTAAATCAGTGAAATTTAAACCCAGTGAAAATTAGTCATTTTACAGTGTTCTATATAATTTTTTTGTTATTTTTGAACCAGATTATTATAATTTCCTATTAGCTACTGGTTTTTATTCAAAACTTCTGAAAAAACATGCAAAAAAATGATGTAGGTTTATTTTCTGAAAGAGATAAAAGTTGATTTTGGTGATCAAAAGGTTAATAACCAAAGTACAAATTTTGTAAATTATGAAAAAAATTATAAAGTTTTCATGCGACACAGATTGTTGTCAAATTTACTCTTCTTTAAATTATTAAAAACTGTTCTGATTTTTCTGGTAATTAGTAGCACTAATCAAATACAATGGACAAGTCTAATTGTCTTCTTTTTCCTCCCAGGCATGTTTATTCCTTAAACCAACCTGTACTGGAACTTCTAGTCAACGGCCTTACAAAATAAGAAACATCTCAAGAACACCCCTGAATTTTGAATGGAAGATTCATGCCAGTGATAGACAGATTATATCTGTGGAGCCATCTACTGGGTGTATCCTCCCAAATGAGGCACAGGTAATTCCATTCTATTATGGGGAGGGAGGGGTACATATTCATTTGTGGGTGTAGTACACAGATCGTATGGTTTTTTTCTAACTGTCTTTTGATGTGCTTTGGACCTAACACCATCTGAGGTCAGTTTTTGCAGTGATAATTGGTTACAAGAATCCTCCACTTGTGCTCTTTAATTCTCTACTTTAAATCATAGCGTGATCTGTAAATGAGATATTTATTACTTGTCCTAGTGTACTGTGTGTTAACTTTCTGTGTTTGTATCCCTGACAGTCTCAAATGTGGACATTCACTCCACATGACCATGAGAAGTATGTGCTGAAACCCATCGTTGAAATTGTCCCGGATAAAATCATGGGAAGTAAACATAAAAAGAAGAGTTGTACGCTGAGGATTGTGGGTGAAGGTTCTTCCGGTGATATTAGGGTGAGTATATTTATTTCCATGTAAGAATGATGATATTCAACAATTTCATGACAGGAAATGCTAGCTCAACTTATTTCCATGAAGCTCAATATGCTACTTGATTCCAAAATTTGTTGGGGAATATTATTTCACAAAGTTCTAGTTGTATTTTTATTTTTATTTTTGTATGCAATAATTTTTTTCTACCAAAACATTGGTGTTACATTTAGTACATTTTTATGTATTATCTACTAATTTTTAACAAAAAAAAAATATATATATATAATTGCCTTATTACCTACTTGTTTGAAAAAATAATTTTGGAAAAGTTAGAAAAGTTCCCTCTATAAATACATTGTGCTTTTATGTCCTATTCACCATGAAGTATGTTGAGACTGAGATAGCCATTCATCTTTTCACAATGAAATGTTTACTCATGGGCAGAATATTGTTTGAATGAATAGCATGACACTTGTCTTAATAGTAAGTGCCTCACCTGTATGCAATAAAAATAGATTTCCTTCACAGTTTCAGTCAGTTTTGTTTGGTCTTGAAATATTGGTAGCCCTCAAAGTTCAAACCCTGCTAAATATTCGATCTACTGGGTAATCATGTTTATTTCATGTTATATATACATACCCCGGTATATCAATACTGTATTAGCTCTGTTAGTAAGTCATGAATGTACTCGCATACTTTATAGAGGTATTTCTATGGGCAAAATAAAGCACATGATTCCACATACAAGTAATGCAATTTTTGGTTTATATGCCCTTCTATTGGAGATGAGCTTCCAATAGAACCAATATTGAATATATTATAGTGTAACTTTGTACTGACACTGTATTAGTGTAAAGACAGTACACCGGTATTGAGTTTTCATACATACTTTTTACTATCACATTACAGGCTGAACAGATCAAGATCAATTACTGCAACGTAGTCGTTGGTAGTTCAGCTTCCAGGGAGATTATAGTTTACAACGACTATGATTGTGATCTTTATTATAAACTTGCAATTGAGCAAATCATTGATGGACCGTACCCTGAAAACCAAACTGCCTACGATCCAATAGGTAAGTGTGCAATTTGTTTGCGCAAAGCTGTTTTATGGTGATACTCATTAAAGATTCACTTGTCTCCAGTACAATAGCATTATAGACATGCCCACTTATTGTCATGCAATGCATTAATTTCTCAGCTTTATCTGAATGTATAAAAATGTGAGCAGTGGTTTCAGCGAAAGTGAACACACGCATACTTTATTGCTTTACTGTTTGACCCTAAAACCCAGGGGCTGTGCTCAGTTTTGTATTCTTGCTTACCTTCTCGAAAAAAAAGTGTGTAATAATAGTATGGAAACACTTGAACTATTTCATTATGACTGTCCAGATTACTACAATGACTTAGCACCAACATAATTACAGTATACTTTGTTATGATAACACTATTTAAGATTACATTTTACATTTAAGATTTTCAGCTTTTTCTGTTGTATGGGACTTACATTGAATGCCAGGCTCTACCCATATGTAATTGTGTGAACTGAATAATATTATACATTATGGTATATTTTTACAACAATTTGTCACAATGTTAAAAATTATTTAGCAAATGACAAATTATTATTTTTACAGCCTTAGATCTTGATCAGATGTCAGGCACGCTACCTGCCAGATCCAGGACTATCATCCTGGCGACCGTTAGACCGATTCGCCGAGTTAACTATTCATTCATTGTGTCGTACGAGTTACTGACACCCAAGGGTAATCAGAGTAACGCACCAGTGCAGCTATGTGAGTTGACTGCTACTGGTGTGTATCCTAGTTTAGCGGTGACCGATGCGAGATGTTATGGTAGTGCTAACGGAATTAGTAAAGCTAGATTGTGGAACCTCTTTTCATTAGACAAGTAAGTTTTATTGCCAGCCTCTCTCTGCTCCATGAATACTGATAGCTTGTCTCTAGTGCCGGTGAAATTCTCTTCATCAACTTGTTTGAATTTGCTGCAAGCAACAACATTTTAAAGATACTGTTAAACTTAAAAACAAATCAGGTAAAACAGGTAGTTGGGAAGATTATTTTGACTATACATAATCTATCCAGGGTTCTCCCCATGGCGTTATGGAACGGAACTGTTCAATTTTAACTAAAATTAAATTAAACAATAAAGCCAATTTAGCATAAGAATGAATATAATAGAGGTGGAAAACATATTCTGTTATTCAAATTAGCCAATAATCTAGTATCTAGCCATTCCTACTAGCTACATGTATTAACTAGGACGAAAGTGGTGACAAGGCTTTGCTAATTTACATAATTTTTTATGTACATAATTTACATAAATTTCACAAAAGTCGCAGTGACTCAGTGTCTCTAGGGTATCAATGAAATGTTCACTGCTATGAAATTGAAGCGATTATACTAGTTTGTGTTGTGTTAATGTTATGTATATTATCACATTGTAATTGTGTGCTTATTAGTCCCCGTTCGGACGCAGTCCGAAAACGGGGACTTATGTTTTGCCCTGTGTGCGTCCGTGCGTCCGTGCGTCCGTGCGTCCGTGATCACCTGTATC